AAGCAGGAGCAAAGGAACAGAATAGGTAAAGAAGCAGAGGTTAGGATGTGGTCTGTCTAAAATGATGTGCTTGGATGAAGCTCATTTGCCCTGAAACTTTTAGTTCAAGTCCACATCCTGCCCCTTCAGGCAGGATAGGTTGGCCCTTAAGGTAGTACTCCCCAACTCTGGCACAGACACTCTTGCATAGGAACTATCGAATCCCTTATTATAACATCTACCTCCACCCAGGACCTAGCAGGTTTTCCATTAGAAGGAAGGGAGGTAAAGAGGGAAGAAGAGAGACAAGCAGATTGTTAATCCCCTCCTCTCTGCCAGTTCAGAAGGCCAAAGTGAGCCCAGGTAAGTGGCCATCCTCACACCTACCCACTCACACTCAAACCCACACACCCAGTTGTTTGGTAATAATTGCCTCATCTTTCATGATTTGGAGATTGCTTTTTTTTTTTTTTTAATGATTTTTTAACATCCCTATGCCCAATGTGGGGCTTGAAATCACAGCCCCGAGATCAAGAGGTGCATACTCTAACAACTGAGCCAGCAAGGCGCCCCAAATTTGGAGATCACTTTAAGCTCCCTGGTAGGTCTTGAGTTCCTCAAACACAGGGACTTTATCTGCTATTTTTTGTATCTATCACTGAGGAACAGGCATGGTTTCAGCCTCCAAGGTAGGCATGGAGGGTCCCAACGCACTGCTCACAAGGGGCTTGGGGCAAGATTCTGCTTGCAGTAAAGCATGAATGGTTGGGACACCTCTGTGGGTTCAGCCATTGTGTCATTGTGTAGTTTACTGCAGTTCTCTCTCTCTCTCCATTCCCATCCACAACACCCAAAGCCAACATGCAAGAGAGAAGGAGAGTTCCCCACTCCAATTAGACTTCCCCAGGCCTCTGCCTTCCAGAGGCAGCGGTTAAGTGTGCAAGTGTGCCCTGAGGGTCCTTCCCATGGCCATCGGCAGAGGAATGGGGCCTAACACCATAGGCCCATGTCTGCGGCCCTGGAACAGACTCAGGAGGAGCACCATCGGGATTTGAAATGGGTCTGCCCTGTCTCAGTCTTTACTATTTTTCCCAATGGAATCACACTGGGGAGGGGAAGGGAAAGTTACTATCATACTGCTGTTCTTACAATGGCCTCTCCCTCTAATCACAGGCAAAATCAGAAAACTAAGTGTATCCAGGGGAATTCTGAGCAGTAAAAACAAAACAAGATTAAAAAACAAAACCCACACTCCTCACCAACAAGAGAATGAGAAATTCTGCTCCATTAGGTGAAATCTGATTTCAGATCAACGGAATGTAGATGGAGGAAAAAGCTCCTGTGACCCAAGAGTGAATTAAAGCTGCCAAGCAAAATCCAAACAGCAAAACAGACAAGGTGTGTGGTTATTTTTATGATCAATGTGAAAGAGAGGCTATGGGAGAGAGAGGGGCTGACCCAGTCACAGCTACACAGAAGCAAGCTTTCTGACTAGGCAGGCAGGCCTCAGCTCACCTTTCCTGTTCCAGGCCCTGGGTGTTATCTCTGAGCAAACAAAATCTTGTCTCTTATCAGGTGGAGCACACCACAGGGTTGACCCAGCACTTGACCCACACAGAGCCTGCCTCTCTGGACCTGAACTACGACCCTGTGGGTAGGCAGGACAGGGACTTTTCCATCCATTATACAGATGAGAAAATAAAGTCCCAGAAAGATTTGCTCCAGGTCTTCTACTTAGAAAAGTAATATAACCAGAACTTGAATTTGGCTGTTCTAACACCAAGCTTAGAACTCCTTGCAGTGTCCCACGGGCCTTGGGCCTCTGCAGGAAGGGAAGGAACTCAGCTGAGTAGTCAGTGAGGTCCTCTGGGCTTCTTTCATCCCTTTCAAACAGGAAGTGAGAGTGCAGACTCCAGTCCAGCCCCCAACCAGCCCTATTATTCCAGTTACCGCCCCCCCCCCTCCCTGGGCTCAACACACTTTCAATGGGTTCAAACTGGCCCTTGAACCAAAGGCATCCAGTCAGCCACACTCTTTCATGCCAAAGCTTTCTCTGGTAAAACAAATCTATAAAGAGAGATTTTTAGTGAGGAGGCCCCACCCAGCTCAGCCAAAGAGAGATAATGGGTGGGTGACAAGGCTTCCTATTTTAGGAAATCTGTCAGTACTCTATCAGCAGAGCCTGGGCCTTTGGCCAACAAGGCCCTGGAGAGAAGAGTGAGAAGTCAGGGAAGCTATTGTGAACTCTGTGTCCCCACCACGGAGGGTCTTGGGCTCAGTGTGTGTTGGGTGGAGGGGGTGTGATTCAGCCCCTCTGAGCTCATGCTAGAGCAGTGCCACTATGGCCTGGTCCTCCCCCAGAATTGCGCCTCCACCTCCACAGGGCACAGACGTCCTTCCCACAGCCTGAACCAACCCCCCCCCCCCCCGCCCGCCTTCTTCCCCTGGGAAGTGGGTGCTAGGAGGCTGCCCCGCCCCTACCCAGTGTCCACAGAACAGGCCCAAACCAGTCTTCTATGTTCTCCTCAGAGAGGAAGAGGTGTCACCCCCTTCCCACAGCAGCTCTGTGCAATTTCCCCCTGGATAAAAAAGTGACAGCAACACCTTCTTCCTGGAATACTGTATCAATTAAATGAGAAAATGTGTGTAAAGCATCATACACAGTGGGCACTCAAGTAAATCATTTGCCCCTTCCTCCCAGGAACAGTTCTGATTCTCCGGTAGCCTGGGCCCCCCAACAGGTCTTGCTCTGTATCACCAATTACAACTTCCCCTAAACCCCAAAGACAGTACTCTCCACTCCAGCTGCATATTCCCATGTCCTCCAGGCCCATCTGTGGCCCACAGTTCTGGATATTTTCCTTACCAAGCATGTATAGCATTTGCCACAAGCTCAGAGCTCTAAGACCCTGCAAGACCTAAGAGTGCATGGGGATGGAGAACAAAGGGAAGGTTCACAAAGCATTCAGGCAGTGGGTGGGAGCAAACACAGCCCCTGGGCGCGGTCCCTCTCCTTTGACCATCACAGCATCCATCCAATGCTATCAACAGCATGCACGAGGTACTCATTTTGCAGGGTACTAACCCTTATTGCCATTTCCAGATACAGTATACTTCTTTTTATGGGATGTTTTTCGAAGTCTTACTCTGCAGATTTCTGATATTAATGCATGCTATCTTCCTTTGAGAATTTTCTTTGACTCAGCCCCTCCCACCCTACATCCCAAGACTGAAGCAACCTCAGGAGCTGAAGCCAAATTGCCATGCCTAGCAATTATGAGTGTGGATACCCTCTCTTCCCAGACCTTTTCAACTCAACAGTAAGGAGGTCAGTGGCAAGCTGGGGGCCCCAGCAGACCTGGTGGGGGCAGCCAAAGGACAGAGCGTCAGCAGCTTCCAGAGAATCAACCAAGACATTTCAGGTTAAAATCTCTGCACCAGCCCCGGGCCAGTGCAGCATAATGGGGAGTGACTACAGGAAGCAGTGTAAAAATCAATACTGAATGGACAGCTGACACAGCACCTATGAAAACAGACAACCATCAGGTCCTCTCCTCCAAGGATCTGGTGGCCACCACCAGCTGCAGCACAAGCAAGCAAACTTTCTAAATCAAAATAGTATCCTGGGTCTGAGAAATAATACAAAACAAATCACCAGAGCTCAGGGGGAGGTTTTAACAAAGTCCTGACACACGTGAGCAAAGAGTAGCTAAAATAAGACCAATCCCCTGAAGGGCTGTCAACCATCATCACCATAATGGCCACTACTACCTAATGATGGGGGCAAGGAGATGGCAGCCAGGAGGTGGCTGGCTGAGGGGCCTCATCACCCTCATCATCCAACACTGGCTCACCTTCCCCAGGGACACAGCTCTGGGCCTGCCTGTGGTTGATGAAGTGAATAAGGAGACTAGATTTGTTTGGAGATCACAAAGCAAGCTAAAATAGAGGTGGAAGCACAAATTCCTGGCAGACAAGGCCTGCTACCAAGTGTTGGAGATTCACACTTAGTCCACCAGGAAACAGGAAGTAGTGGGGTGGCCCCATGCAAGGTGTTCACTTATGTCTGCTCCCCTACAAGCACCTTCCTTCCCTGGGACCTTGAGTAGGAACATATTTTTAAAGTACCCAGGGATACCATGTCTCTGGGAGGACCCTGTCACACATTTTTCCTTTTGTCTTTCAGCAAGGGCACTCTTTTCTCCTTATTTAGTGATACTATGCAGATAATGCTCTTCAGGACCAGGGCTGGTTTTGTCAGATAATCCAAACACCTACTGGGTGCCCACCAACACATCCTATTAAAAACTGAACACTTTGGGGCACTGGGGTGGCTCAGTTGGTTAAGTGTCTGACTTCTGCTCAGGTCTTGATCTCACAGTCAGTGGGTTCAAGCCCCACGTCGGGCTCTGTGCTGACAGCTCAGAGCCTGGAACCTGCTTCCCATTCTGTGTCTCTCTCTCCCTCTCTGCCCCTCTCCCACTCACACTCTGTCTCTCAAACACAAATTTAAACAGTAAAAAAAAAATTCTTTTAATGAATGCTTTATTAAGTAAAGAAAGGAACAAAAAAGTATATCACACACCCAGAGACTATGGGTCCGGGACATGGGGGCTGTGTATGATTTATCTAGGAGCAACTCAGGATGGTTCCCCTTCAGGACAGGCAAGGAACCCTAAACTGCCCAACCATGTGGGAGCCCTTCTACCCCTAGGCTTCTTGGTCTCAGAGGACATCCCGGTATTTAGTAAGCCAAGCCAGGCATCTGTGCCTTTCTCTGCTGGAGCCCGGCCTCCTGCTTTCCCAGCCAGCAGAGGTCCTGCTGCAAGTGAAAATCCCAGCCTGATGAATGCAGCTTGCTGACAGTGGCCTGCCCGAGCTGTATCTGGCACACCTGCATCTCTTCCCCTTTTTCCACCTCAAAGAGTGGGAAAGGGTGTCTTTTCTGTTGAGCCCACAGCTGATGAGCTGCAAGGCGCCACCTGACATGAACTCCCTGGTGGCGGTCCTGTGTGGTTGCCATGGCGCCCCGAGGGCCACTCAGCAACCGGAGCAGACCCAGCCTGCGACTCCACAGGCAAAAAAGGCAGAAGGTCACTAAGATGAGTGAATGAGCAGGGGCAATGAAATCTCATTTCAGCCAATATACTTCTCATCAACCCAAACAAGCATTCGACTTCCTTTTATACTGTCAACCTTAGAGAGCAGAGGTTAAAGTAAAACCTTAAAGGACAGGTAAATGAAGGATATACAAAGAAGCCGGCCAATCCATCAGGCAAAATATAAGCCTCTGGCACAGGGCAGGGGCTAGATAAATATCTGTTAAATGAAGAAGGCAAAAAAAGCAACTCAAATGTGATTTAGGCCTCTTAAGGAATATTTTCTGAAAAGGCACAGTCAGCATTAATAATTAGCATATTAGGTGTATCATTTTCTGCCCTCCAAAATGCTTTCATGCCTTATCACTTCTGATCTTTGCAACAACAAAAGGCACTAGAGCTGGGCTGGGACATCATTTCCATTTTGCAGCTGAGAAAACTAAGACACAGAGAAGTGGCCTGACCAAGTGACTCAGCACCTTGGTGGAGGCCATGGGAGGAGAACTCAGAGCCCTGGCTGCTGACCCCCCCCCCCCCCCCCCCCTCCTCTAATGGCTCAGCCACAGGCTCTCCTCCTCTCCCTTCCCTGGGCAGTGGACATCTGAGAGGGGGCAGGGGATTCAAGTCCTGTCCATGCCTCGGCTCACCGGGGCCCAAGAATGATGAAATATTTATTTGGTGATAAGACCTTGCCTTTCAGATCAAATGGCCGCTCGGGCCTGGATTACCTTACAATAAGGTAGACCCAATGTCAGTGTCTGCAGCCTACTGGCCTGAGTGGCTGAAGGGTCCCTCACTCCAGCTTGCACGTGAGCCATGGCCAACAGCTCCCCACCCCAACCCCTCGGGCAGGGAAGCAGAGCATAGACTAAGCGCCCCTCATCCCCAACCACAACCCCTTCCCTGGATCATCTGGCTTCTGGCCCTTCTGCTTCCCTTTCCTCCCTCAGTGATGTCACCAGGGAGCCAGCCTCCTCTTCTTTCCTCAGAAGAAGGAGGAAACCCAGAGGATCTCTCCCCTCAGGGCTGCCCGTTGATCAAAAGACAACGTTCCTACTACTGGGAACCATTCAGGATAAAATGCACAAACGTGGGGAAACTACAAAGGCTGTAGAAAGTGGACAGATTGCCCACAGACACTGTCCCAGTGACTTCCTTCCTAGTTGGCGTTTTAGAGCCCCTGTCACCTTGAGCTCCACGTGATAGGCTCAGCACACTTCCCCTCTCCTCAGCCCAGCCCGAGCTCTCAGGCGTGAGAAAACACTGTATGCACCAGCCTCTGGTGTTCTCCAGAGCCCCCAGCTCAGACTTGCTTTAGTGTTGAGGATTAAATGAGGTAACACATAAGAAGCTATCTGAAATGTTTTAAAATATATATGCCAAATGGCAATAAGGTTTGTTGTCGTGTTTTTCTCCTTTTGCCTCACCCCCATGTGCTCCCAGCCCCAGGAAGCTGACCTCTGAGAAAGTCATCCTTCTGGGCACCCTCGCTGATGGTCTCCGGTTTGAACAACGGGAGACATCCAGCAGGAAAAGTGGTTCAGGGACCAAAATTCCCTTCTCCCCTTTGCCCTTTAGCCTCAGGGAGGTAATGGCTCCCAGGTGATGGAAGTCTCTGGGCACCTCCCTATTTGTTTCCTTAACCCTGCTTGCATCTCTGTTAATCTCTTAATTAAAGTTTTTCATTTGAGCCACCTGGGATAAATTGTTTTCCAATTTATCCTGATAATTGATAATCCTGATAAATCAGGCCCGTGACTGATAAACTCAGACACATCCACATCTGTGTCCAGTCAGCTCAAAGGGCCACCCTTGTGTTCCTCCATCACTGGGAGCAGAGAAACCACAGTGTCCATTGATGGTTAAGCTGTCTTCAAGACAGAGCTTCCAAATTCCCAGCAAGGCGACCTTGCCCTTCCTTCCTCCTCCCGTGGTTCTAGCAGCACATTCTTATACAGCAGCTCGGCGTGGGCTGCCAGCAGTGTGACATCAGGATGGAAGAATACAGAGGCCTAAGAGGTTCTGCATTTTCTGGAATCTAATGATTCTGCTGATCCTCTGGTGTTTGGCAATAGCTCTTTCAATGTCGAGATGCTTAAATCACTTCTTTGTTCTTTCTGCTGTGTAACTAGGGCACCACTAGGAGTCTGGAGGAATTGCTGTTTGAGGTAGGTATTTTGGGGGTGGACAGGATGGTTTTTCCCCTTGTTTTGGAGGACTGAAACCATGCACTTGGAAGAAGGTCAAATTTGTTTGGGATTTTTCTCCTGCAGTAGGTTCACAGCTGATCCCTTCTTCTGTCCCTTAGTCTCTAACATTACTTCCCCCTCTCCCTCAAGATGGGTGTCTACTTTGCGAAACACAAGTCCTGCCTTCTTTTGCGTTTATCTCACTCTAACTCCCAAGTAGCTGTAAGCTTCACTGCCAAGTGTCTTCCATTACACATTTATTTATTAAAGGCCTGCCCCGTGCCAGGTGAGATTAGGGAAACGGGGGATGATAGTGACCAAAGACAGGAGGTCCAGGACCTCACAGTCTAGCATAAGGCAAGGCTAGAAAAGGCTCAGGGAATTCAAAGAAAACCCGGGAAGGGGAAGCAATTGAGGATGGGGGTTCCCCCTGAGCTGTGCCTCCTGACGATGAGTGTTCTAGGGCAGGGATCGGGTTCACAGCTAGCCTATTTTCCACACCTCAGAGAACATGTGCTTCATCAATAAGTAACCACACCTGAGTTACTATGCAAATAAGCTCAGCTCTATTATCTCAACAGCCAGGTTCACTTTTCCACTAGCCTCTTCAGCTCCCAGACTCTGTGCTATCTTGACTCTGTGGCACTCATTTGTCATGGCCTGTCATTACCGAATGAGACACCAAGCATGAAAAAAGACAGTTTGAAGGGTCTTATCTGGTCTCCCTCAGCCTGAGTCTGTTTGGCCAGTGTTTATCCTGGCCCAATCTCCTGCTTTTGCCAGAGAAACTACCAGCAGTGATAGCTAAATCCATTTAGATTAGGAAAAGGCAGAGAGAAAGGAAAAGCCAGCAGAATGAACCCAGCAGGGGAAACCAATTTTGCTGCAGTGAACTAACTGCCTTGCGCATTTCAAATGCAGCTCAATGCTAGTCCTGGTTCACCTTCACTCACCTCACAGCCACAGGCGAAGTTCAGCTGCTAGGAACTTTGATTTCCATTCAGACTGATTTCCAAAATGTCCTGGGGATTCTAAACCTTCACTCCCCCAAACACTTCAGGGTAAGCCATAATGAATCCTACATCTTGCATTTATCTGAGAGAGGAGGTTCCAGTAGCCTATGCGAGGGAGACAGGAAGCAAAGACTAAATAGGAAATCTGCCATCCCTTTTTGTTCCCATTTCCTTTCGTGAAAACCCTTCGAATCAAAAAGTCATTGGATGTGGGAGTTAGGAGAGATGTTGGGGATCGCTCAGGCCAATGGCCCCTCCTCATTTTAGAGAGCTAATGGAGAACACAGGCCGTGATCAAAATCCCAAAGCCGGTGGCTGAGCTAACCCCGGCTCCAGGCCAGCCTTCTGCTGGCTGCACAACTGCCCTGGGAATTCGTGCGCAAGGCACGGGCAGAGGGGGCCATGGGCCCACTCACGGAATAATGAAGAAACTCTGAAGAGGAAGAAATCAGCTGACTTTTAGTTCGCCATCCAGGCTGGCTGTCACGAGGCTAAAATTGGAAGCAGGTGAATCTGCCTGATGAGAGCTGAAGGAGGAAAGTGAGGAAGAGGGAGGGCGGGAGGCAATGAATATATTTCAGAACAAACAGAATCTGTGACTGCATTTACTCCGTGTTCTACGGTGGCCACGGTTGGCTCGGACTGAGGTAAGGGCAATATGTCCCTGCAACAGGGAAAACGCTTCTTGTATAAATAAAGGTCAAGGCAAGTCTCAGATGTGAGTAAAGGACAGGGGAAGCTGCTTGTGGTGATTGCAGTGATACGCCCCCAGATTTCCCTTCCAGAAGGAAGGATTTGTTCCCCCACATGTGAAGCGCTGCTAGAAGACTCCTGGCTGTCAGACCTCTTTGAGAGTGCCTGGGCCAAAGGAAGCTGCCCTGCCCAAGGTCCTGCCTTCTGGTGGCAGCCCCCAGCCAGGGACCCCACCACAAGAGTGTGAAGACCTGACCCTCTAGCCCCATCTGGGCACACCTTCCCAGCTTCAGAGCTTTCCTGGCAAGCTGAATTCTTTGTTGGGATTGCTTCAGGGCTTAACTTCTCCCCTGCCCATACTTTCTCCTCCTGCCTTCCACACTGTTGATACCAAAAACACTCCATAGTGAACAGCAGCCTGCACATAGATCCCCATCTCAGTCGGCTTCGGGGAGAACCCATATGGCAACACTGCTCATTAAATCAATATACAGAAGGCACAGTGAAAACCCTCCATCCACTGAATCTGATCAATAACCCATCTCTATGAAAGAACATTGCCCAAGTCCTGATTTAGAGAATGAAGTTAAGGCTCTGTAGGTTACAGGCTGTCACCTCACTGCTGACTGCAATGTGTGTATGGAGCCATTCAAGTGCCAGAGCAGTGAGACTGACAAGGCTATTCCATCCCTTGTAGGACCACACCCTATCTGAGCCAGTCAGCCAGAAACAAGTCCAGGCAATTCTTAAAGACTTTTAAAGAAGATTCCAGAACCACCTCTGGCACCCTTTGTAAAGCTGATAAGCCTTATCAGAAATGTTCCCCTGAAATAAATTTAAATTCCTCACACCCATATTAATTTCTTTTTGTTATCTTAGGCAGAGGTAGAAAACACTTAGAAGCTTCTTTGTTTAGTGACCCTTTGGGATTCATCTCCAATCTTTTCTTCAAGGTGAATGACCCCATTCCCACTAGTTTTCCCACCAAAGATTCTGCTTTCAATCTTATTATCTCTATGGCTTTCTGTGAAAGCCACAAAAAACCCTCTTTCAAACCTTCATTTGAATGTTCGTCAGTTTAGGGGCAATGCCAATTTCTCACCTATTAGAGTTAATTTGATCATCCTCTGTGAAATATGGCACTCAGTACTTAACAATTCACCATCCATAAGCAAGCAAGGCACTTTCCTTAGATTTCCACTCTTTGAAGCAGACATTCCCACAGTCTGGAGATCCTAACAGAGCTTCTCACTGAAGAAGTAGGAAGACATCAAGAGATGAGAAGAAAAACGTTAAACCTGAGGCCCCATAGTTCCTAAGAACCAAGAAACCACTGTGCCCCAGAGAACAGGAGGGAAGAGAGACTCTGCAGTACTTAGCCAGAGGCAGACATCTCATGTTTGACAGTAATGAACCTCTGCCTGTGAGAGAAATCTAAGCACATTAGTTACTTCCTTCTTGCCAAAACTCCATGAGATATTTAGATTTCTGAGCATGAATTGAAAGCGAAATAAGCCCTTTTTTGTTTCCCTGTGCTCACTTCAGGATGCTTACCAGATTTGCATGGTAAGCAACGATTTATAAAGGAGTGCATTCGCTTATTTTGCTGTATCTCTGATCCTCTTTGCCAGAGCACAACCCAGTAATTATTATGTTTTAACTATGGATTGGTAGTTTTTATACTCTTTAGGAAAACTCAAACCAGTGATTTTCAACCATTTGGCAAGACCTGTAGACATTTCTGTTAGTCATGACTGGTTGCGGGTGAGCAGGAAACTCTACCGACATCTAGTGGATAGAGGCCAGAATGCTGCTAACCATTCTAGAGAACCCAGGATAGCCTCATACAACAAAGAATTATTTGGCCCAAAATGATGATAGTGCTGAGGTTGAGAAAAACTCTGACTCACAAATAATTCTGTGTCCTCCTAAATTTACTTACCTCTTCAGGAAGTTTAATGCATTGTTTCTCCTCCTCTGGCCTGGAGAAATTACAAGCTGCTTGACCAACAAGGTCACAGTCTTTCTGTTTTATTCTTTTTTTTTTTTCCTTGATGAAGGCAGAGCTAAGGAACAAAGACAAGTAAAACCCCAAATATAAGGTGAAAACAGCTTGATCTTGGCTCATGGACTACCTTCAAAAGCTATATGTTGTGTGGGTACCTTTGAACAAGTAGACCAAGTCAGAAAATAACAAGGACCATAAGATACCTAGGAACAAACGTAACCAAAGAGGTAAAAGATATGTACTCTGAAAACTATGAAACACTACTGAAAGAAATGGAAAATGACACAAAGAAATGGAAAAACAGGGGCACCTGGGTGGCTCAGTCAGTTAAGTGTTCGACTTCAGCTCAGGTCATGATCTTGCGGTCTGTGAGTTGGAGCCCCGTGTCGGGCTCTGTGCTGACAGCGCGGAGCCTGGAGCCTGCTTCAGATTCTGTGTCTCCCATTCTCTCTGCACAACCCCCCCCCTCCCCCCCCCCCGCCTAGCACTCTGTCTCTCTCTTAAAAATTAACATTAAAAAAATGTTTTTAAAGAAATGGGAAAACATTCCATGCTTAAGGATCAGAAGAAATGTGTATATATATGTGTGTGTGCGTGCACACACACACAAACACACATACAATGGAATATTATTCAGCCATCCAAAAGAATGAAATCTTGCCATTTGCAACAATGTGGATGGAGC